CTGCATAGTACTCTGTTGTATAGATGTTTGCTTTATTTAATCAGTCCATTCATTGGTGGACATTTGAGTTGTTTCCAATCTTTTGCTATTACAAATAATGGTGCAATGAATAGCCTTGTGCATACATTACTTTTTTTTTTTTGTATATCTGAGAGTGCATATCTGGGATAAATTCATAGAAATGAGATTGCTGGGTCAAAGGGTAAATGAATATATATTTTTGCTAGATATTGTCATATCTCTCCCTGTAGAGGGTAGTGCCATTTTGTATTCCTGCCAACAGTATACATGAGTACTTGTTTTCCCATAACTTCTCCAAAATGCGTTGTCAAACACTTGGATTTTCATTTGGATTTTTGCCAAAAGCAAAGGTGAGAAATGGTATCTCACTGTAGTTTTAATTTGCATTTGTTTTATAATAAGTGTTTTTGACCATCCTTTCATATGTTTAAAAGCAATTTGCATTTTATTTCCTGTAAAATGTGTGCTCATGTCTCTAGTCCTTTTTTCTTTTAACATGATCATTGGTCTATATCTTCTCAAAAAGTAATTTTAGAAGCTCTTTATATACTAGAAATTTTAACCCTGTGTAATATAATTTGTGGAATTTTTACCATTTGTCTATGATATAAGTTGCAGATTTTTTTTTTCAATACATCCTCTGACGTTTGTAGTACATTTTTTGGCCATAACAAAACAAAACAAAGCAACCCCCCTGCCCTGCAAACAAACAAACAAATTTATTTAAAGTTTGTATGTAATCAAATTTATCAATCTTTTCTTTTAATACTTTTAGATTTGGGGTCATAGTTAAGAAAAATTTCCCTCACTCCTAGGTTATAGAGGAATTTATCCATAGTTTCAACTAGTACTTGTATGGTTTCACTTTTTACACTTAAACCTCTGATCTGTTTGGATTTTGCCTTTGTGTGAGAAGTGGATCCATGTTATTTCTTCCTCATGTGTATCCAGTTATCTCAGTAGGTATCTTTATCCTGAAGACTCGTATTTTTCTTGAGCTCAGAAAAATTTTCTCTTTTTTTTCCTTCTCTGTCCCCCACCGTTCCCCACCCCATTGTCTCTGGGCCAAAAGTTGTTGAAATTCCTGGATCCTTTCTGCATATATCGACTGTCTCTCAATTTTGTTTCATATTTTCTGTTTCTTTGGTTTTCAATTTTATGTAATAGAAAATTTCCTTGCATTTACCTTCCTTATTATTTGTTTGATCTTTAATACTGTCCAGTTTATTCTTCATAGTGTCTTTTCATTAATGTCCAATTCATTTTTATTTTATGTTATTTTTAGAACTTGTTGAAGTTTTAAATTTCAAAAATCACATTTCTGATTTCCTAGCACTCTATGTTATTATTCTCTTATTACTCTTTTTTTCACAGCAGGCTGTTCTTGTTTAATAGATTCAATGAAAAGAAAAAAATGAAAACTCAAAGAAAGGGATGTACCTGAGAATTTATATATCATTTTAACAAATAATGATAAACTTGTGAAAAAGTTACAAGACAAAAGAAAAGGGCATTAAGCTTCTAGGGGTGGTAAATTATGGGAAAGTGACTAGGAAATAGATGGGGGAAACCAGTGGAAGATAAGTGTTATCTTAGTAGGTTTGTTTGTGCAGGTCAGTTCCTCATCTCTGGTGATAGAATGTTCTTCTCTTCCTTGTATAGGGACGGCACCTTTCTCATGGGAAAATTTATAACTTGCTTTTAGGCAGAAAGCGAGAAGTCAGAGTGCCCTTCATTCATCTGTTTTTTCTCAAGTGCCTTCACTTCAAAATAATCAGTTTGCCAAAATGACATATTTTGAGATGGCATATTCTGATCCCCTTCAATATCAAAACCAAAAAAATGACATCAGTCCAATCCATAGAGCTTACTCAGATTTCACCAGATATATAATTGTTTGTGTATAATTACACACACAAAAAGTATATATATATATAATTTTTCCTGTAATATTTCTTGAAACTTTGTAGTCTGATACTGGATCTTTTTCTTGTTTTCTAGCCCAATGTGTATTAATAAATAGGAATTTTAATGACATTGGAAAGAAATGGAGGTAGATTACATGTGCTCAGTCTGCCATTTTGAAACTGATGCTTTATAAAGCCTTCTTAATATCATCAAAAATCAAAATCTGGTTTTTCCTTACATGAAATGTCAGGTTGTTTAATGCCAGAATTTCTTAATTAAGAAATATATTTTGAAATCCAAGAGCTTTTTATTATATTTCATTCATACATCTACTTGTTTTCAGTTCTACATTTACTTAGGAGCTACAATGTGCCATGAACTGTGCTATTATGACCTGTTGTTGCTGGACTTCTGGCTCAAGTTCTGATCCTTGGCCAGATAGTTTAACCCACTATTGGCAGTAACAATAGAGAAGGGTCTGACCTTGGGGCTGTTCTTTTTCCTTAACCCTTATATGACTGATGGGTATTTCAGAAGGTTGGAGAAGGCATATCTGGACTTCAAAGCTCAAGTCATGATTCCTGCATTTTCAGAATCAGAGTGCACAGGATATTTTAAATTTAATCTGACGTGAGAAGACAGTTTATAGGATAAGAGGATGACATTCAGATAAAACTGTCTTGCTGGTACTGGGAAATACAGGGCTGGGATGAAGGAGAGAATTCAAGGAAATACTGCGGGGATCAGATGGCTCACCAGCTGTTTTCATTGCATCAAATGATAGAACAAATGCACGTGTACCTAAGCTGAAGTCAGAATATCTTGAAAAGAATTTCCTGGAAGAGTGGGGATCATAATGTAGAAGATAGTTTAATAGCTTTCTCTAGAATTTGGAAAGGTTTGCATCTATACGAGCCATAGATTCTTATCTGAGGGATGGGTTCAATAACTAATAGCTTCTCAGTGTACTTCCCAGCCCCAGGAGTCGGTAATTTAGTGTACTTAAGTAGGGATCTCCCTGACATTTTTGCATTGAATATCAGAATAAATAGGTAATAGCAAATCTATATAACTTGCTAACATGTCATTTAGGCCACCTGACGGCTGCAGTAAATTGCTCTGCCACCTTTTTAAGTGAATATACAAATGCTAAGCATCAGTGATAAGATCATCCTGTGTTTTATTGTTATTCCTTCCTGCTGGTGCTGGGAAATAAATTGCTGATGAGAGGCAAGGGAGGATTGGCTTAATAACTTGTAATCAGATATGGCACACAGCAAATGTGAACTTCCCATTTTCCTATTTTAGCTATCTTTTATCCCAAGAAGAACAACTGAATCTTGTAATATGGGAAAGGGCCGTAGTAATCCTTGAATGTAAAATGCCTACAGGAATTAGGTGCAAGTGAGAATAAAGCAGTGGAATAAACTTGTGCTTGGTGACTATCTTACGATTCTTTCTTAAAAAAAGTTCCAAGAGAACTTAATAATGATGTTAACACAGTGCTTACTGTTCTAAACACTTTACTACTCATAGTTTAATGCTTACAACAACTCCATGAGGTAGATACTGTTATTATCTCGGTTTTATGGATGAGGGCACTAAAACACAGGGGTTAAGTGATTAGCCCGTGGCTACACAGAGAGTACTGGAGAGTATGCTAAACTGCTCCTAATGAAATACTGATTTCCTGACTGTATTTGAGTTTGTTCAGTACTGTTTCTAGGGAAGACTTAATCGGTTTTTGAGAAAACATGGCGTTCAGTCCAATTTCAAATTAGGAAGAATCTTTGGCTCAATCCTTTAGTCTCTAAAAGTCCCTCAGAGCCTGTACTTGGATAATTAGTTGTGAACAATATCAGTTATATCTAAGTGGACAAATTTAATTACTACAGAAGACCAATTGATTTTTTTAATTTTTCTTTCTTCCTTTTTTGCGGTACGGGGGCCTCTCACTGTCGTGGCCTCTCCCGTTGCGGAGCACAGGCTCCGGACGCGCAGGCTCAGCGGCCACGGCTCACGGGCCCAGCCGCTCCACGGCATGTGGGATCTTCCCGGACCGGGGCACGAACCCGTGTCCCCTGCATCGGCAGGTGGACTCTCAACCACTGTGCCACCAGGGAAGCCCCAATTGATTTTTTTAATTATCATTGATCGCTCAGTGGTTATCTCAGTATAAAGGTTGGTACATTCTGAATCTTTAATTTAATTGGTTTATTAAATAATCCCAAGATTGACACCAAAGTAAGAGGGGTGAATTTTCCTCCTGCTCCTTTTTCTTCTGAAGGAAAGGTAAACACCATGGAATTCTAAGACATTCAAAAACAAAAACAACAACAGTTAACATTAAATTATGTGTAGGTTTTTGTTTTTTGTTTCTCATTTTTTGTTTTAGTGGATTTATTGGAGTCTGTGATACCCTAGTCTTCCTAATGGTGAAGATAGAACTTGCCACATTAGCTGGGGTACCAGACTGCTGATACTTTTTAATCCTTAAGTCAAAATCATAATGAAGCCAGTTAAGATCATAAGGATTATTGGAAATTGATACGGATTTAGAGAGAAAACAACTGTCTTCTACTCTTTATCTTACCCTCACTCCTTTCCTCAATAGCTGGCTGCATGATTTAATTTTTCTGTGTCTCAGTTTTCTCATCTTGAGAATGAGGATAATCATATTTGTCTTTCCAATCACACAAGCCAAGTCTGTGACAGTGCATTAAAAAATGTTAAATGTATATAAGTTCAAGGATCATTAATATTTGGAGAAAACCATGGTATTTGCAATATTTTGCTATAAAAATATTGTCTGATGCTGATTGTATCAGTTATCTATTGCTGCATAAGAAACTACCTCAAAACTTATTGGCTTAAAACAACCATTTATTGTTTCTCATAAGCTTACAAATCATCTGGGTGGGTTCTGCTGGCCTGTGCCAGGTTCAGCTCTTCTTGGGCTTGCTTGTGCATCTGTGATCAGCTGGTGGGTCATCTGGAGGCTGGCTGGCTGGTCTAGGAGGGCCCCAGCTGGGACAATTTGGCTCTCTTTCACATAGTCTCTCATTATTCAGCAGGCCAGGCCAGAGTTGTGGAGAAGAGGAAGAAGAGCAAGACAGGGGGTGAGTGTGCATAACACCTCTTAAGAGCTCAGCTAAATATGGCACCTCATCACATTCACCACATTCTAGAGGCCAAAACAAGTTGCAAGACAGCTTAATTCAAGGGGTAGGAGTGTGGGACAAATAAATGTCACATTGTGATGGGAGGAGCTGTATAAACACATTGTAAAAAGTGGGGAAAATTGGAGCCATTTTTGCAATCATCTGTCACACTGAGTCAATTATATGCAATTTAAACCCTTGATTTTTTTTTTTTATCTATTTCACTATGGCAGTGATTAATGACATTTTCAATTTTTACATTGCTATTATATCTCTCTCTTGTTTTTATAAATTTATTTATTTATTTTTGGCTGTGTTGGGTCTTTGTTTCTGTGCGAGGGCTTTCTCTAGTTGCGGCGAGCGGGGGCCACTCTTCATCGTGGTACACAGGCCTCTCACTGTTGCGGCCTCTCTTGTTGCGGAGCACAGGCTCCAGACGCGCAGGCTCAGTAGTTGTGGCTCGCGGGCCCAGTTGCTCCGTGGCATGTGGGATATTCCCAGACCAGGGCTCGAACCCGTGTCCCCTGCATTGGCAGGCAGATTCTCAACCACTGTATCTCTTACATAAACATACATATTCATATCCCTGACTTGCTGTCCATATATAAACCTAAAATAAAACATTTGAAAATATTTGCAGTTATTGTGAGCAATTGTTACCTAGAAAATCTATTAGATATATTTTTATTTATTAACTCTTATTTGTTATTTAGATTTATGTAAGGAAATAAAACAAACAGAAGATCTGGTTAAAATTATTGTTGGAATTATGTTTTGCACTACTGGATTCTCTGTTGCACTGAAATTATTAGTACACTTCATTATTGGTCCTAGAAACAGATTAAATGAAGATTTTCGACAATATAAATTGAAAATCTAGGTCTCTAGCCCTGCCTTTAAGAAAGAAGAGAGGGGTTTTGGCTTTGTTTTGTTTGATTTAGAATGAGCCCAACTAGTTGTCTATATTGATTAAATTCCCTGAATGTGTGTTTAACTCATGATTTCACTTGGATTTATGCATTTAGTTGCATGATGCCAAACATCTGGATTTTTTCCTCAACAATGCCAAATATACATCTGTGTGGAAGAATGTTCTGATTTTGGCATTTAGTTGCCATTGTTATATATATGCTCTTGAGCCAGGTGCACTACACCACTGGGGCAACTCCGGAAGTTTGGGTCAAAAGAATGTATTTCTGATTAAGTTTAATTCTACGAACAGTAAATATAACTTATCTAAATTACACATAGGCACTTGGCAATATCCTGTATATTCTAACATTTCCTGTCTCTGTGTTGGCATCATGTTCAGGAACACTTAAAATATATTGCCATAATATTTTCTAAATGTATTGCAATTTAATGTAGTATTTGGCAAACACAAGCAAAATACAGTAGCTAATAGTGCAAGCTCATTTTATTTGCATACCATCGTTAACCACTTTCATGTAGTACTTACCAAATGTGTCAGATTATTACAATCTATTTAATGACTTAATGGAGGAGATACATTGTTCTTAAATTCAGTTATACCCTTTGCACCTCTGGAATTAAGGTCATGTCAGCATTTCTATTATATAAGTTGCCTGGGTTTAGCAGTTTTTAACTGAGCTATAAAAATTGGCTTCCAAATCCAATCTTAGTAATAAAAGGTCACTGCCTGGGGGAATTTTTTCTCCCAAATTTAGCAAGTATAATTTTATGGTGCATCTCCTGCTTTCTAAAATAATCTTTTAGGAAAAATTCCATTATGATCCTCACATGGCAGAAGGAAAACTGTTTAATGTTCTCACTGTTTTATAAGACTAGCATTTTTTTCCCTTGCTGAGTATCAGTCATCCCTCAGACAATCTGACTTTTAACACACTCTCTGTACTTATTGGTTATGCAACCTCAAGCTGTCACTCAGCTACTTTGTGCCTCAATGTAAATTTACTCATGTTTAAAATGGACCCACCTCATAGAGTTGTAGTGAGGATTAAATGAGATAATATACTTATGTGTCTGGGACAATATATATTGATTGCTCAAAAAGAGTTAGCTTTTGTTATTATTAGATAAGAGATTTAATATAAGTCAATACAACATTAGAGAAACATTTGAAAAGAAAAGGCTACTGAGGTGAGATTTGGCATTTACTGAGAGGTGTGGAAGAGGCTATGGCTATGAGCTAATCATCACCCTGATGTCAATAGTTTTTTTTTAGAAATTATTATTTTTATTGTTCATTCCCAGATTTGCTTAGAAAGAGAATAAGATTGTATTAGGTGGGTTATTGGCCGTGTAGTGTTAAAACATAACTGTATGTGTTGCTAATGAAATGCTCTAGGCAACTCCATGCAACTGCATATAAATTATAAGAAAACAGACACATTTTCCTGGGTGCAGGAAAAAAGCCACTCCTTTACTGACTTAAAAAAAATAATTAACTGATAGATTTGATTTTGCATTGACCAAGTGCTTGATTTGTTCCTAAATAACCTGCAGAGAAATTCTCCTCCAAAAATTGGAAAGAGGCTGACCCATTGACAGAAAAATCTGTTTTCCTCTGTCTGTACTCATGGAAGAATCACTGGTTTCTTGACCTCCTGTTTCTGCAGGGGACGGGTCACTGTGTGAGAGACCCCACGCAGAGGTATTACAGTGGGGTGATCACATGTGCCTTTGCACAGACACCTCAGCGCTAATGTGCCACATAGCAAAATATTTCAATGATGTCTAAACACTGAAAATTATAATTCTCAATTCAAGTAATTGACTAAGTTTTCACCTCTGTCAAAATTCTTTGAACTGTTCAATTTGATTCAGGATGAATTTGATGTTTTCCTCCTTGATGTAATACAGGTAACATTCGCACAACAACGATGTGTTGTTTCCACTCTGCCATTATACAAACAGAATCCTAGAGCTGGAAAGTCCTACAGAACTCATTCTTATAAGCAGATATTGAGTGTTCAAACCACTCTATTCACATGAATTTCTTTTTCTTAGAAAAAGCCCATGGCCTCTGATGGGTAAGAATCTGAAGCAGGGAAAATGCTATTGTTTAAAGCCCTTGCCTGGCAGACATATCAAAGTTAAAGGAATCTAATGGTATAAAGAAGATTTAAAATAAAACTTTGTAAAATGAAGTAAGGTTGTACAGAGGAACCGTCTAAGTACTGGTCTATTATCCATTTGTTTCAAATATGCAAAAAAAACCCAGCTATACGTTAAAATAACCTGAAATATTTATTAGCAAAAACAAGTAAGGTAAATGCCATTCAGGATTCTAGACAATAGACCATTTATGACCTGACTAACCATCAAAAAGAAGTTAGACATACATCAAATTCCTTTTCAAAATTCAGTTAATGGTTAAAAGAGAATACTCAGCATAGTTGAGCAGGAATCTCAAAGCTGGTATGATTTCTGAATAAATCTGGTATATATCGGTTGACCAGAAACCATCCATATCAACTACGCAATGGAGATTACATTGTCCAGTGATCCATGTTACCTCAATACCAGTAAGAGATTAGGACAAGTGATGATACAGTATCTTAGAAAGTCATTACTACTGTTCTAGAAATTCTGTTTAATCAAATTAGCTGGAGAAGTGACCAGCATAAATAATCGGCAGCAATTTTTGTTTTCTTAAAATTCTACTGTAAGTGAAGTTCAACTGGAAAGGAAAATGCAGTAGTTAAAATAGAATTGTGTACAAGGAAAATGGAGATAAATGCCTCAGATCAAACAGATGTGAAGACTGCCCAACCCCCATAGTGTTCATGTGAATGGCATCCCCTGGAGCTGGGCATCCTGACACTACCAGTGCAGTGGTAAATGAATTAAGAAGTTAATGGTTAAGCTTAATATTTATTGAGCAACAATAAATTGTTATCAATCCACTCAATGGCAGGCACAGTGGAAAATGATAGACAGTTTAGTAATCTAAAAAGAATGCAGACTGTACAAAAAAGTGCTGAACTGGCTATGAAACCTAAAGATGTTTTTAATGTTACAGTCAGAGTGTCAGATAGCATGTGGCTCCAGACTATTAACTGAAGAAAAACATCTAATCATTAGGCAAGGGACAAAGTAATATATATGTATAAACCTTCCCATCCCTTTCCTTATGAAAACCTTTTCATCCTTTTAGTTCCAACTCAGATGATTCTTCTTCTGTGAAGCTTTTTCTTACAGAGGCAAAAATAATACTTTTATGACCCCCAGAGTATGTGCACATAGTTCTAGTATTACACTTATTCCATTTCATTCTAATAATTTGTGTATGTGTTAGTTTCTCTATTAATATGGTGTGAGTTCATGGGACTGTGTCTTTATTTTTGCAGTACTGGGCACATAGCAGGTCCATAATAATGGGTATTGAATGCGTGTGGTTAGTATATGAGAACAAGAAATGTTCATGATACCTATGATGCTTGTAATTCCAAAGATAAATGGGCTGACAGACAAAATAAATCTCACAGAACAGATTTCTGTTTACCAAAAACATCTGCTTGTCAGATTAAATTATCTGGAAATCATCTAAACACAAAACTCTAAGAGATATTGAAAAGTCAGAGAAATCATCTATTACAAATCAAGATGATATTGAACAGAAATAAGAGCCAATAACAATTTTTAATCTTTGATCAGATCCTGCATCCAAAAATAGACAAAGAGGGCTTCCCTGGTGGCGCAGTGGTTGAGAGTCCGCCTGCCGATGCAGGGGACACGGGTTCGTGCCCGGGTCCGGGAAGATCCCACATGCCGCGGAGCGGCTGGGCCCGTGAGCCATGGCCGCTGAGCCTGCTTGTCGGGAGCCTGTGCTCCGCAACGGGAGAGGCCACAACAGTGAGAGGCCCGCGTACCACAAAAAAAAAAAAAGACAAAGAAAACTTGAGGAACAAGGGAAAAATCTACATTTATGCAAATATTTAATTTGGAAATATGTAACTTTTCTGTTTGTATTT